TATATATATATATATATATATATATATATATATATATATATATATATATATATATATATATATATATATATATATATATATATATACACACATAAAAAATAAAATTATTGTATTGGTTTGAAAAATCTGGTATCTTCAACGATATCCAAATTTGGCTTGGGTTTTGATTTATATCTTTAATAGGAAGATTTAGCCATTTTGGTAGGACTAAAGTACAATTTAAACAGATTAAATATACTTTTTTTATTAGATTTTCAGAAAAGTATTTAAAGGAAAATTCAATCACACCGTAAGAAATTCTTACCTTGACAAATGAACACACTCAAATTTTTTTCAATCCTCAGAGTAAATGATATTAAAAATAAAAATTTCTAGAATTAAATAAGTATAAAACTTGATAGGCAAGGGTGCAAATTTACATATTATAGTTTAACTTTCTACATTCATACCATTTGTGGAACTCTCCTGTCAGGAGGATAAGAAATGTCAAACATAATCTTGGAATATTATGATATTATGCTTCATATTGCATAGATATAAATAAGAAGTGCCCATTGGACACGAACACACACACAAAATCCAGGAGTTCTGTTATAATAATTATATATACATATATATATATATATATATATATAATTCATATAAAATCCAAAATATTTTGTCATTTTTTTTTTTTTTACTTTTTTTATTTCTTTCTTTTAATATTTGAAAAAAATATATTATTATTATTATTAGATGCTGATTTTTAACAGTTTGATGAGAGTGATAGCTGAATAGAATGAATGAGTAAAACAAGGGATTACAAGTCAATCGTAACTTTCACCCTTGGAAATTCAGAGACGAAGGGGACGATTGACGAGTGAAATAGTACAGGTAAAAAGTGAATGATTTAAAAATAATCATAACAACTTATATGTGCTAAAAAGAACATCGACACACACACTCACACAGGTTTTGTTTTATGTATGTATATGTGTGTGCAATTCTGTGTATGTGATTAGATGAATGTGTAAGCATGTGTGTGTGAAGATATTTTTTTCTTTGAGACTAATTTTTTTGGCAAATTCTTTAGTTATGCCAACTTCTACAGAGAAGGCAAAAATAGAAAAAAAAAAATGTTCTGTTTATCTATTAGTCAAAGTATTGTGTTTAAATTCAAAGAAAATTTAAATATAATGCAGATACAATATCAGCAGTTCGAAACAAACCCCAAAAAACAAGGCAAACACCCCTATTTCTTGAATCAGATTAGTTTTCCTGGATAACAACAGTCAAAATTGTTTAAAATACAGGGAAGGGTAAATGCGACTAAACAATGTGAAAAAAAAAGATTATTTAGTGACTGGAACACAGGATAAAAAAAATATATATATATATATATATATATATATATATATATATATATATATATATATTATTGAAAAATATTGAAAGTCTGGCACAACCAAAGATGGCATCAACTTTTTCTTTTGTTTTTTGAACATTATTTTCTTTGGTGATGCCAAAAAAAAAAAAAAATAAAAAAAAAAAATAGATGAAATCAGTCACAGAAATATTTTTTGTTTCAGTTTTCCATTATTATTTTTTGACATTTTTAAAAAAAATTTGTTTTTGTTTGTTTCTTTCATTGAAACTGCATATATACAGTCTGTATTGTGCTATGTACAAATGATAAATATGAAGAAATAAAATGCAGGTATACATATGTACATATGGTACAAACAAGATACTGGGATAAAATTCAAATAGAAGTGGGTTGTGGACAGGGAAATTTTAAAAAGATACACAACCTAAATAATAAAGAAAACAAATAGTCATCATGGCTTCCAGTGAAGATGACATTATTCTTCTTTTCTTTTGTTTTTTTGAGATTTATTTTTAAGGGGAAGAACAAAAAAAAAAAAAAAAATAAAACAAACTCATTTGGCATAATAATTCAGATTCCCCCTATTCCAAGGGTTTAAAAATAACCCCACCCAGGTTTATTCACATAAAAGAGGAGAAACCTTAAAAAGTGAAAGTAATCCATCTTAAATTAGAATAGTTTTAAAACCACATCTGTTGTTTAAAATTGGCTAAGAACTCAAGAATAACGAAAATCAAATTATTATTATAGATGAAATCATCTACAGTTGTATATATGATTGTCAAAATATTTTTCCAAAATAGCTATAACAGGACACAACAAAAAAAACCTAATTACTTTTTTTGGTTTTACATTGTTTTTAATTTACTAAAACCTTTTTAAACTGGCAACAGAAAAGTATTACTTTCACTTTGACCAAATGTTTATTATCCATAGATTAAGTGTCACAAGTTCAAGACTAAGTTAACAAAATTAAATTTAGAAATGGCCATTGATTATTTATAACTTAAAAAAAAAAAAAAAAAAAATAATAATTTTGGTAAGACTGAAATATGTTGTAAACCAACTGAATATACTTTTTATGAATACAACCATGTTATTTTTCTTTGATAGATTTTGAGAAATGTATTAAAAAGAAATATTTATAAAAGAAAAATAAACAATTCTACTTTCCACCCTCTTTTATGTCACACACTCATTTGGGATATGGCCGTCTTCTAGCTTTCTGTTGACTAAAAAGAAAAAATGTCAATTCGTAAATACACTCTATAATCAAAATTGTTTGATTTGTTACAGAATTTTTTTTTTTAATGCCAGTAATTCTTTATCAAAAAGAAAAAAAAGGGGGGGGGGCAACTAAACAATAATATTCCAATAAGAAAAAAGCTAAGAATAAATGAAAGGATGCAAAAGTAAAAGAAAGAAAGAAAAAGAAAATTGTGATTTTTTTTTCAATGTTGCTTCCTTTCTGAAAACTATTAAATTTCAAATTTGATTTTAAATAGGAAAACAAAACAACAACTAATTAAAATCTGTGTTGTATAAAATCGAGTCCAATTTTGGGAAGAAAGGGTAAAGTAGTGAAAAAAAATAAAAAAAACAATAACAGCTGAAGGAAGAAAATTGAAGAAAGAGAATTTTACACGAAAATAAGCCTGTAACGAAACAGAGAATTGGAGAAGTGCATATCCAGATGTTAAAATTTTGTGTGTACTAAGATATATATATATATGGAGGCATGGTGGAGTAATGGATAGTGGCTCGTACTGATGAATCAGAGAGCCAAGTTCAAATTCCAGCCGAGTTCATTGCATTCACTTATGTGCTAATACCCTTGGGGAATGTATGAATCCATCTCTTCTCCCTGCCCCCAGCTATGGGTAAAATAGCAGAACAGACTGGGTCCTATAGCCTTGTGTGGTGAATGGCAAGGACAACTGTGAATTCAAAACTTGTGTTTGGGAACCTTGTGGCATAACTTGCACCAGGTCTCTGTATTCGGCTCTTCCAAAAAAGTGTGATTGGTTTTGCACAAGCCTTCACCACTATAACCAAATGATACGTGTGGGTAGTCTGGCTGTTGGTTCTAAAAACTGAGCTGCTTGACCCTCATGTCAAAAACGACGGGAGAGTCCAGTATATATATATATATATATATATATATATATATACATATATATAAACTATTAAGCAAACAAAATAAACCATTTCAATTCAGGTTCCTGGATAATGTTTCTTTAGATTTTTTTTAACCTCTGAAAAGGTAATTCCTTCTCTGTTACAAATAAGTGGTAAATCATTCAAAATTGCTATTAATTGCCTTTTGTATGAATTATTTCTGAGAAAATATATTCAAAAAGACTCAGAATTGATAACTAAAACAAATTTGCTTTAAAATGTCATTAAACATTTTTTTTTCTTAAAAGATACCAGGTTACCTCATCCATTTGCTTATACATAGAAGGACTACATGAAATAAATCCAGGTGGTTTGTGTCAGTATTTATAGACAACAAAAGCCATGCTTTAACTTTTAAATCTAGAATCAATATCCAATCAAGCTACAATTTTGCAAAATCACACAATGCTGATAAGCAACCAGCAAAGGAAAATGAAGTTTAATATTATTATTATTTAAACAGATTTCATAATCCTTTTATTTGAATATAGTCTTTGCCGTTATTAAAATGAATATGTGGACTGCACGTTGATAAAATGTTTGTCTAATTCTTTATCATTCTGACTTGTTTCTTTTATGAAAACACAGACAGAATATCCAATTCTCTCAAAGTGACTCTTTCTCCCATAAAAAAGGACTCCAAGTTGTTGCTTTTAAAATCTTTTAAAATTTGATTATATTTAAAGAAATACCATAACTTAAAAATTAACAGAAACAAGATATAAATTAAACGAAAAATTTTCAATCAGTATCAAATTATTTTTTCTCGCCAGTTTCCAGTTCAAGGGATGTAACTCAGAATTAAGAAGAGAAGGGAATTTTTAGAATCGATTAAAATGAGAAGATACGAATGAAAAAATCAGTGTCTCAACATGAAAAAACACTAGTATTTGCTTTTCTCAGTGAGAATTTTTAAAGAAGCTGACGGACCATTGTATAACCGGGATTGCAATATAATAAAACGCAGAGTAGGAAAGAGAAATTATTTTTTTTTAAAATTGTGTCCTGAGACATATACAATCAAATGAGGCACGGGATGTGGGTTTGAGTTATACATATGAATAATGAAGGGTTGGGTAGAAGAATTAAAAAAAAGAAAAAGAAAAAAAAAAAGTAATAGCAGTTATCTCCCCTTAGCAGGCCAGCACCAAGGAGTTTACTTGTTATTATACATACACACTTTACATACATTCATACATTATTTTTAATTATTAACATTATTCTTGTTTTTGAACAGTACTTTTACCCCGATGAGCCAGCATCGATCAATCAGCTCTTTTTCTCTATCTTCTTAAAACAACAGAAGATAGAGATTTTTTTTTCTGCATTTTTAAGTTTTTTTTGTTTTTTTTTTTTTAAATTCGCCGCAGTCATCATCATAATCACAATATCATCATCAGCAATGGGAGTAGCAGCAGTAGTCGTAATGTTTCAGTTAAGAGGAGAAGGAATTGCATCAAACTTGCCACAAATTGAACTCTTCATTCTTTTCATCGCTCTATTAAAAACAAAAAACAAACAATGTAATTTAAATTTAAAATGGTTTCTTAAATAACACTTTTCTTTTTTCCTCCTACACAAATGTAAAAATAAATTATCTTTATGCATGTTCCCAAGTTTGATTCTAAAATTAGAAATGTAGAAAGCTTGTTATAAATTTAATGTTTTACTATTTAGCTTCATTAGAAATTTTGTGGAATAATACAGAGCTGCTTCAATTTTTAAATTCTTTTGTTTTTGTAGAAGTTTGAGAACAGCGAAAAAGCATTAAACTGCTTTGGTTCAGGGAAGTGTAATGAATTGGTAAACAGGATTGTACCTATTTACATATGTTAACATTTAGCACACTGCCTTATTAATTGGTAAGTTGTTATTAAACCTCCTAAAATTAGAAACTTATTTTAACTAGTTTACAAACCACACAAGATAAGTACAATAAATTTTATTCCTTAACCTTTAACCCTCTGCATTATAAATATTACTTCCTTTTCCACTACATTCTTTTTCAGGGCCTCTTAATTTCAGTATCCTTATTGTTGTTTTCTGTTGCTATAGAAGGATATGATAACACAACTATGAAATTCAAACACTCTATTGTTCATGGATTAGAGTCACCTTCAGTGGCAGGATAAACTTTTTCTACAGCAAATGAAGTCACATACAGAGTGACAAAGATTAGATGAATAATGAATATGCAATGTGTGTAAAAAAAATAATTTCTATCATCATATTAAATTTGAAAACTAATTTTACATTTATTCCTTATCTTTTTATAATTTATATTTATTTAAAATCAAAAAAGGAAAAATAGTTCAAGCCCAATTCCTAATCATTCATGAGGAAATATTTCATTCATGTTTTGTAGTCCTTTATGCTACTAACTTACATTAAGGTTGATAATTTTAAATTCTCCTGTTAAATATCTCAAAATCCAACTGCTATTGATTTTACATTATAAATAAATGAGGTGTATAACACCTCTCCTTCCAGCAAAAAGGAAGTGGATGGAGCTTGTAATCCCACTTTGTATGAACCTACTTGCTAATATATAACCAGCACATATGTTGAGGGACTGACTTGACCCTGGATAGAATATTTTATATCAATTTCTCTTGATACATTAGTATGATTAATTACCTTAATTTTTAATTACCTTTACTTTTTAATTACCGTTATTTTTAATTAATAAGTAAATTTTTCATTGAATTATTTCTTTTTTTATATACATTTTCAATTGTATATTTAGTTTGGCTTAAAATGTTAGGTAATGTGGTACAAAAGATAATTTTTTAAAACAGGTGTTGCCAATGCAAGCAGTTTAAAAGCTCTAATCAAGGAGGTCCTTTAAACAATTTCTTTCAGAAAGAGATGAATCTATTTGTATTTGTTCCAGGTAGATTAGATATATGCCTTTTTAGCAAATATGGTGAAACCATCAATAATATTTTAAGCATTGTTTTTTGAAGCAACATAAAAACCAAATTGTAATGAATAAAAAAATGTCAAATTTATATTTAAAAAAATGTCAGTAGTTTAAATATAGAAAAGAAAATTAACTACATAAAAAATATGAAAAATTAAAGATATTAAAAATGTACAAAGATACTTGATATGAAGTGTGATTTTGTATTTTATCAGTCCAACGTTAGTCATTTATCTCACATATCAAGAACTGCTCTACCCTTAGGCATTTATATAGTCTAAACCTTGGCTATGCTAATTAGGCAGTCATTTACATAATCACTACAATACTAAAAACTTACAAAGATACTTGAAACTTTATCTCTTTTTACAAAAACAAAACATTTTTGTATTACCTCTTCAAGTCATGCACTGTAATAATTAATAAATAATAATTACATCGTTAATAAAGTACTTACTAGGCAATTTGTGTCTGGTCAATTACTGGTTCTTTAATTTCTCAGTGCAATTCCTACAAAAGGTCATTTGAGTGTGATTTTTTTTTTTTTAAATATTTTTTCCTAGTGTTTTTTTTTTCTTTTGTAAAAAGTCCATCTTTTTTGGTTTTGCCTTTTAGCAGATAATCCGAAAAAGATTCTTTTGAAAACTTACATCAGAAGAAACATTGAGTTTATCTTGGCATGATGTATCAACTGCGAATGATGTAGTCAATCCTATGTCACTTGTGCTGCCTGTTAAAAAGAAGAACATTTAAAATTAAAAAAAAAATAGGGTATTTTATAATATATAAAACATTATATATATATAATAAAAGCACGGAGAATTTCTTAAAAAATACATTTAAAAATATTGAGTTTAAGCAATTTGTAAATGATTTGCAAAACATTAAAAAATAATAATCAGTTTGAACTAATAGTTCAATCAAATATCAGTTTGAACTAATAGTTCAAACTGATTAATTGAAACTGCTATCTCCATCTTAATTGTTATAGTGACAAAATTTTAGCCATTATATTCTTTGGGCTTCAGTAATGTTCTTAGAATTTATCATCTGGTTCACACTCTTCCCTATCTTTTGAACAGAAGTGGAGGTTTATCCCCTGTTTCTTGTTTAGGATTATGTTTTAGGTTCCCGCTAAAGTGTTATCTTTCTCTTTCACTTCCTGTTACCCATTACATCTTGGTGGTATTATCACTTGAGGTAGTACACCTTACTCTGTAACCCTCTACCTCAAGTGGCTCTTGGACTTTGTACAGAGTGAAAATTGTAATAAAAAAACGATTGGTACTGCATGTTTGTGTAAGCCTATTTTTTGCTTGGTGTCTTCATTGTAACTATTTTCTATATCTATGTTATACAAGCTTTTAATTCAATAACCTATGAAGGTTACAGAATGTTATTATGGCTCTTAAAATGTATATTTTAAAAAGTATATATTAAAATGAGGAGGGAATGCAACGGTAGAGATTACTTACCATAAAGTAGTAAATGGAAAAATTATAAAAAGTAAATAAATAAAATAAAATATTTAAAATAAATAAATAAAAAAGCCAGTTATTTTTATATTTTTGTTATAATTTTTCATTTACCACTTTACAATAAATAATGCTTTCTATACTCTTTCTTTCACTATTTAAATATACTTTTATATATTATATGTTAATATATACATTAAATGTCCGTTTTTAAAATTGTTAATTTAAACTCAACCATCAAATCTAATCAGCTGTTTTTCACTCAGAAAAATGTTTCTTTTTGTAGCATTAAAAAGCACAATAGCAATTGTCTGTATTGGCTATTATAAAGATTTCATCTTTTCCTAATCCTTAAGTTTAATTTACTCTCCTCTATTACAATCTTACAGATAATAACTTTCTCACCATTCTTTTGACTTCTCAAGTATAGAATCATCTTCCTCATATGAACCAATACCTCCTTTCTCCATAATAATGGCAGTACTCACAACATATGTTTAAAAAAAGTTGTTAAATATCAAGTAACTATACAAAACAAAATTTCTATGATGTAAATCTCCAGCTTTTGGTACTTACCTGATTTTGTGTGTTTGATGAGTCCAAAATCTCTAAAAGTGGGGTCATCAACTTGACTGGTACTTGCCTGTCGTGTTAGAGACCCGGTTGAAATAAGGGACGAGTGCAGAGGTGTGCAGTGGAGAGTGTGAACCCCATTGCTACGGCCAAGAGTTGACCGTTGTAATGCTTTTACCATGGCTTCCTTTTCAACCAAACTTGTCTGGAGTTCTTTCACCCTGTTGGAAAAACAAAGAATAAAAATGAGAAACAATCTCTCCATACACACACACACTATATATATATATATATATATATATATATATATATATATATCATTAAAACATGTTTCATTGAATATAGGAACTGATTAAACAACTTGAAAGGATCAGTATAAAAATATGTAGACACAATATGTCTATATTATTCAATGAAATATATTTGAATGAAGATATACTGCCTAAATATATATATATATATATATATATGTGTGTGTGTGCATGTGTGTTCCATTGAATAATATAGACATAGTTATTTATTGCTTCAATTGAAACAATTGTGGCAAAATGATTTTCTAAGCATAGCTTAGATGTGGCACAAGGCCAAAAGTATAGAGCACCCAGTGAGAATCAGACTGATGATACTTAGAAAATCATTCTGCCACAATTGTTTCAATTGAAGTAATAAATAATTGTCCATATTATTTAATGAAACACACACACACTTCATTCAAACATATTTCATTGAATAATGCAGACATATTGTGTTTACATATTTTTATACTGATACTTTCCAATTTCCAGTTGCCTAATCAGTTTCTTGATGTCAATCAAGTTATTGCAATTACAATATCTTGTCTTTGTCTCTGTATTTTACCCACAAAGATGATCTTAGAAAAAGTCAAAAGTATTTGGGCTAAAAAAAAAACAAAAAAAACAAAAAAAAACGAAACAAAAAAAACAGCGCTTTCCTTGATGAATTTCATCTAACATCAAGAAAATGATTAGACATCAGACATTAGATTGAATTAAACTCTTCACATCATCATCATCATCATCATCATGAACAGTTTAATTTAATCTGTATGATTTAGCAAACAGAAATAAGGAAGTTTTCTAAGCGTCCCATTTGGTATAGCCAAAATATTTGATAATCTTCAGAAGTAATTAAGAATGGAACTTGCCTGGCTTCAAGTTCAGCTGCTTTCTTTTTAGCTTGAAAGGCTTCTTCCATATGACGTAATTTTTCAGACTTTGACTCTGAGAGTAACTTTTCCATTTCAAGTGCACTCTTTTCAAAAACAGCAATCTGGTTGTCTTTGTCCCTGTAGAAAAGAGAAGAAAAAAAACATGAAATTAAAAACAAAGAGTAAGGCATTATGAACTGCTTTGTTAGTCAAACCAGTATCTTCATTTTGGTTGTTAGAACATTTAAGGCTGACCTACTCTCTACTTTTTTATACTAAGTCACTTTCTTGGTATTTTGAATCAAAGCCCTTTATTCGGTCCATCAGGCAGAATGATGGCTTCATTATGTTAGGGAATATAAAACTGTCATTAAAACATGTGAAAAGTAATATACTCTTGATTTATTGAAAGAAAAAAATAAGTGACACAAAACTGAATAAGACAGGAAGATGAAATGAGCACAATATACTCCTGTGAATTGAATAAAGTGTTTTTTTTACAATCTAAAAATATTTTGTAGCTTTAAATAATCTGCAAAGTTCAATAAACAATAGAAAATGAATGAATCATATATATATATATATATATATATATATATATATATATATATATGTCATCCACAGACAGACTGTTTCACAGCTCACCAGTGTGGCTAGATGTCTGGGTTTTAACATTGTGTTTTTTTTATATTTCACATACCCTTTGAATAAAAGAACTTGGATTGGTTGTGTGGTCTTGTGGAGTGGTTTCCCAGATCCACTCCAGCTGTGTTCTTCAGCAGTGGAAGACATGCATTGAAAAGCATTTTCAAGAGGATGGTAGTCATGTAGAGCACATTATATATGGAAATTTATGAGACACCCTGTGATAATATATATATATATATATATATATATATATATTTTCAATATATTCACATAGTTTTCACATTTTGTTTAGTTGTATTACACACACACACACACACACACACCACTGAACTTTTATTTATTAATATGGATTGGAAAAAGTTGACATTTGTATAACATTTTCTATAGCACATAGATACTACACTTTAATCCTCATGAATGTAAATAATCAGATCATTTTTGATGTGTATTCTGCTAGTTTATTATAAAACAATGTCTTATTTATTTTAAGATTTCTTAATAGTTCATGATTAACACTTATTAATGTAAGATTAAAGGAAAGTTTTAAATCTTTAACTTACCCTAAATTTGTATTTTGTTCACTCTGTTTCTTTGCCGTTTCTGCAAGACATCTTTGTTCCCACTAAAAAAAATTGGAAAAAATATGAAATCTTAGTTTATAAATTATATTTCAGTAAAAGGTTTGATATAATATGGGACTTAGAAAATTTACTCAGAATCAAGAAATTTCTTTAAACTGGTCACTCTTATGGGAATTATGACTTTAGCAAATTTAAATATTGATAACTCCATGCCATTATATTCAAAAAGATTCTATTATTTTCTGCATTTATTTTCTACTTGATTTTTTCTTTTAATTAAGACATTTCAAAAAGTAGAACATCCTAAGACCAGACTTCCTGAATTTGTGGCAAGTTTTAAAGCCAGAGAAAAACTACTGATATATGATGTATGGGAATAGGAACTGTCAGTCTGTCAATATCTACATATAATGTAAGGAAGATATTTTTTGTTAAAAAAAAAATATATTCCTTGACTTAGAAGATATTGTTTTTTTTTTTTTAATATAACTTTGGATAAATTATCTTATATTTTATAATCAGATCGTGGTATTATTTATAAAAATATTAAGCAAAATAAAATCGAAGTTTCTTTTTGATATTAAGAAACTTCAGATAAATTTGGTTAACATAATTTTATTTTGAACAAGTCAACGTCTTTTTGTTACCTCCGATATATGGAACTGCAGAATGAACAATGAGATTTTTCTCCTAATTCTCCAATTTTGACAAATTTTCAATTAAGAAATTAATTTTCACTTAGTTTATGATATATATATATATAAAAACTGTTTGATGGGATATGAGTCCCCAATTTAACACCCAACAAAATAAAAAAAAACCCTCAGAAAATATCCCCCCCCCACCACTTTTAGATGAGAATTTGACGTATCTAAGATTTATACTGACATCATATACTACAAGTGTCTATATCTAGCTGAACTACTTAATATACGTAGTTAATTAATATAAATGAGAATGCACTGTAATATCACAAATAGAGCATATATATATATATATATATATATATATATATATATATATATATATATATATATAATAATTATTTTATTTTAAAAATATGCTTCAATCATGACGAAGAAAATTTCCATGTTTCAAAACTGAAACTGAATTTATAAATTTAATTATAAAAATTAAAATCCATAGTCTTGTTCCATTGTCAAGCGATGATAGGAATAAACTTTCAAAGAAATTTACTTTATTTATTTATTGGAATCATTGGACTCTGCAGAGTCCTCTAACCTTATAGGACTTTTTATATTATATAATGATAAAGAATGGAGATGAAACATACTTTTTTATATTTGATCTTTAATTAGTAATTAAATTCTAATATATTTATTTATAAAAATACTGTATAGTCTATTAGATATTAGAAGGTCGAACGGTACTTTAAATCTATAAGAATAAAATTTAATTAATAAAATATAAGTATTAATAATATGTCTTCCACATATTTAAATGAGCCTTTTAGAAAGTCTTTGTGTATAAAAATATGAATTAAGTGGATGAATGACAATGCCAAAAATTTTTTTATCATTGAAAACCCAGATAACTCACTGAATAATGGAATTATAAGTTTGTTAGCAGACACCACCACCCCCACCTTAACTTAACCTGACTTTGTAAGTAACATATATTGGATACATAAGCTGTATAGGGAAATTAAAACCCAGCCACCCCCAAATTAAAATAGATTTTTCTTAACAACTCATAATATCAATATTGTCTGTGCTTATAAATTAAGTAAATTTCTTTGAAAGTTTATTCCTATCATCACTTGACAATGGAATGAGACTGTGGACTTTAAGTTGAATTTTTATAATTAAATTCATAAATTTAGTTTCAGTTTTGAAACATGGAAATTTTCTGCATCATGATGGAATCATATTTTTAAAAAGAAAATAATATTTTGCTCTACTCTTTGTATCAAGCACTGTTTTTTGTTTTTAAATAAAAATAATTACTAAGAACATTGGATTATAAATCTTGCTGTTCTTTCTTATTATTTTAATATATTAAAAAATGAGAAATGAAAATAAAGTAACAAAATAATACAAGTAAAAAATTGTGTATAAAAATGAAAAGTTTTTTTTTCATTTAACAGAAATTTATAGGATGAAAGATAAGAAAAGTGGGAATGAAGAAAGAAGCAAGTAAAAGATTGAGGAAGCTGAAAAGAATGAAGCTAATCTCAGATTAAAAAAAAAATATGTTTACAATTTACATTATGAACTTGCATGATGGGATACCTAAAGACAAATTTGATAACATAAAATCTCAAAGCCTTTTCAATATTATCAATACTTGTAAAATATTATATATTTATTAGAATGTTTCATCTCTTTGTGATATAATAAGACTACAATTTGGGATATTTTAGTTCTTCAGTTCATTTTGAATCTTGTGTTAATCAGTTAAATTCAAACATGTTAGAAATGAAGAAAGATTTTTCTTGAATTGTTTGAATTTAGAAAACCAAAACAGTTGTAAATTTTTTTTTTAACAAGGTCTCAATTAGAGCCATATGAATTTAACTCTTTTGCATTTTGTCAAAAAAAATGTAAGTATAGAATTTTTATTAATTTTGGATTAACAAAAGAAACAGAAATGTAAATGAAATTAATTTTAATTCAAAATGTTTAGAAAAAAAAGAAATTTCGTTTTTTGGAAAATTTTAAAAGATAGATTCCTATCGAACCTTGGCTGCTTCAGCCTCCAATTCCAATAGCTTCCTGTCTTTCTCTTGCAACTGTGCCTTTAATTCATCCACACTTTCATGCAAATGAGGTCTATCCTTGTTCCCTTTCAATGTCTGGCTCCCGGATTCTTTTTTTTCCTGAAGAACAATTTAGAAAAAAAAAAAAAAAAAATCCTTAAAATAACGATAATTGTCATTGCACAATAAAGTCAATGAGAAATATCATTATCTTTATAATTAAAATAAATATTTCCTCTTTTGCCAGTTCCAAAATAAAAGGATGGAAATCTGTTGCTAAATTCCAGACATTGCCCCCACTCACATTCTTTTATAGTTCAGGTACCACCTTTTCAAAATACTCTAAACCCTTCCGCCATCCAGTTAGGATTCATTTAGCATTCTGTAGGTGACTTTTTTGCCAAGTAAAACTCTTAGTCCTATCAATACAAGTTGAATTTGAATTTCTTGGTTGTTTGTCATATTCTTCTATGTCAACACCTAAAACAACCTTGACTGAAATTGAGAGCCAGGCTACTGCAATTTCAAATATATACAACTAATATATAAAACCCTATATTTTGAGGGAATTCTATATACAGTAAAAGGGGGAATTAATATTTATAAATGATACAGAGTGCTAATTAAAGCCTTCAGAATCCTTACATTCCATTAAAAAATTTTTCTCAATACAGTTGATTCATCTTTCTTTTTTAAATGCGATGTTACTATTGAACATAAGAGATAATGACTTCCACAGCTTCCTTTTTTTAATATCTCTAACATGTGCATTATTTTGGAAAAGGTAGTTTCATGTTGTCTTCTCCATTTTTTTTTAATTCAGAGATGTCTTTCTACAAAATTGATTGCTTTACCAAGGCTAAAGAGCCTGGTTTGCCTGAATATTTTACATACAAGTTGGAATAGAAGATAAAGTGTCATGTCTTTCCCAAAGAAAATATAAAGTGAATGCAACAATATTAGAATTCAAATTCAGTAGTCTGTCAATTCCTTTTTTCAGCACCTCCCACAGATTTCTTTTCCCTAGATAATTCAGTATCTCTCTATATTTCTGAGATGAGGTATCATGTACACTATTTACATTATTCGGACTATTGCCCTCATCTTTGTTGCTATATTTATCACGTTTCAGCCGTTATACACTCTGGCCTTATTCAGGTGGTTGGAATGTCAAACTGAACCCTTTATATTTCGCTCGCTGGGGTAGACTGTTCTAGTTCCACATGCCATGTCTAATGGATGTCAGTTATCTCCTGTTAATTCACCTCTCCAAGTTCTCCACTGCCTTAACCAGGTATTGAACTCACAACCCTTTGGGTCCTGTTACTGGATCTAACCACTGTGCCATGTGTTTTAAGGACACATGGCACAGTGGATAAAAGTGTTGGTTAGATCCAGTGGATAAAGGTGTTCATTAGATCCTAGCTAATTTTACAGCTAAACATATCTATTTAATATGAGCACCAGAAACAAATTATCAGCTCAAGAGAAGAGATAGTACTGTTTACTTTACAATATATGGAAGACTGAAAATCTGTAGTTATTTACAGAATTTAACTCTGCATAATGATAGAACTTGTTACTCAATAATTATGATCTATAAGACTCGTGTCCTTGATATTATATCAGTACAAACCACCCATATGTATATAAACATATATAAATTAAATGATACCCAAAGTAGAAGCTGTTTTGTAATTATCTGTAAAGACAACCATCACTAGAGACACTATTACTGATCACTTTTATCAAACAAAAGATAGTAAATTGATATCTACATGAATATCTAATTTATTTATTCCTATCCCAGACAAGATTAATAAACATTCTTACGCACAAAACCTATTAAAAAAATCAATACTTGCAGTAAAAAAGAAAAAAATAGCAGATATAAAAAAAACAATTAGAATTGGAAGAGTAACCTTTGCTTTATTTGACTATGAACTTTTGTTTGGTAATTTCTGAAAGGCTCAAAAGAAATGCACAGAATATAATTCTCCATTTTGAATGTTGAATGCAATATGACTGAAGTACAACGGATCAAGTTTAATTTTCTATTGAGTCAAAATCGCAGCAATATCTACAGCATTGTTACTGTTAATGCTTACTACATAGAAAACAAGGCAAAGGTTACTTTCATTAATGCATTAATATGCTTTACCACCCCACAGGGTATGGTTCCATCCCATGAATTACTCAGATGTGTACACACATTCTTGATTTGATTACAATATTTTAGTTTTCTTTGGAAATGTTGTGGGAAAATAATAAAGATAAGGATATTTGCCCAAATAATTAATGAAATCTTAAAAATGAGAAATCAGAATACCAAGGTATTTTCCAGGAAATTGATGAGTTAGCAACTTGAACAGAAGGTGATGAGGCATATACGGTTTGAATGTTTTTGGAGGGGTGATGGGATAAATAGAAAAGAGAGAGAGAGAGAAACTCAGAAATGTAAGTAATGCATTTGAATAGTAAGAAAAGGTGATGCATGCTAAGTCGTCTAGGCGGGGTATGAGCAATATGGGCTGTTATATTGCCCCACATTGAAAATAACTGGATCCAAGAACAAAGTTGTTTTCAAGGCCACACTGATGCTGTCAGCAAGACTGAGGCCAGTTTTACTAAATCTCTGATTTGAATTTGAACTTAGAAGGGGCTGAAAAAGTAGGTATACAGTAAGTATTATACCACTATTGATATTTGTATAATCAATGCAATACATTGTGTGCATATTTTGTTTTTTATTACTGTATACCTACTTTTGCATCCTGCTGTTTTTACAAATTTAAAAAGAATATACTTATTGTTTTATATTGAATATAATATCATTGTATTTCTTTAAAATAAGTTTACATTTAACTGCTGAAATACACACACACACACACACACACACAATGAATCAGACAAGTGAAAACAATTTATAAGGAAGAAAAATTCTAATATATAAAAAAAAAATTATATGTAATAAATTCATCCAACAAGATCCATGTTTAATATTTTGTCTTTTTCCACATTTTTAATAAGTTGTTGCACTTATTTGAAAATTGGGAAGATACAATGCAAATATAAAATTACAAAATTAAACTGACATTGTCAGTTGAATTTAATACAGCTTGGTAAAATTAAGTCTTGCTGCCTATATATATATATATATATATATATATATATATATATATATATATATATATATATATATATACATGCACACACATGCACGCACCCAAAAATACATATGATTTAATTTAGATAACAATTTGGTAAAGTTATTTACATGTAGTCTATTGTCCTCATTTTTGTTCTTGTTATTACAATGTTTCGGCTGTTGTACTTTCCAGCCTTCATCAGATGTATATTGACCATGATGAAGGCAGGAGGGTACAATGGTCGAAATGTTGTAATAAAACAACAAAGATGAGGACAATAGTCTGCATATAAATAGTGTAAGTAATATAACTCATCATCACAGAAACTCAGACAGAAATTATTTTGATGCTTTAACAATTAGCAAAGCAAGTCAAAATAAAAGTTTTACAAGTTGCCATGTATTTACTATATATATATAAATATATTCAAACAGGTTTGGTTAAATAATTTAGACATATCATGTCGATTAGTTTTCATTGTGATCCTTTCAAGTTCATGGATTCATTTTTCTTGTAGATTTAGAAAATCGAGTAAGAAAAATATCAAAATTTTCTATCAAATAGTTTTTATTTTCCCAAGTACTTTCAATCTCATAAAATAAAAACTATTCAAAAGAAAACTTTGATAAAAAACTAATCGACATGATATGTCTAAATGATTTAACCAATGTTTGAATGAAAATATGCTGCTTAAATACACACACACGCACACATATACGTATATAAAAGAGAGACAGAGAGTTAATTTTGTGATTGGAGATCTGTCTTGAGTAAAGTCTTAAACAACTGAGAATCAAGTTTGGCTTAGGAGGAGGGATATTTGTAGCTCACCAGTTCTTGTTGTCGTAATTGTTCAAGTTCGTTCTCGAGTTTATTGCGTAGCTGTTGCTCCATTTGTTCTCGTTTTTCAGTAGCCAGTTGAAGTGAGCCAAATGCTTTCTGAAGTTGGTCAAGTCGTTCCATATACAATTGCTTCTTTTTACACTGGATGACAAAAGAAACCAAAAGAGTAAACAACAAATTTCATCACTGATTTCATTTCCACCCAAATAAAAAATGTATTTTGTTTTCACTTCATTACATAACTATTCTCCTCAGGTTATTTTGAAAGTAGATCTAAAAAGACAGTGATAATGTTCATAAATTCTTTCAGCAAACCATTCTGTCTTATGAACAGAGAATGGTAAGTTATGATAGTTCTTATCTCCTTAAAATTTCTTCTATAAACATTTTCTGCAAGACATTTATTTTCTAAAGTTTTTTTTGTCATTAGGCTAAGTCCACTTGAATTTTCTCCTCTGAACAGAGGTACATTGAGGACATTATGTTTATGTGAACTTTTATCCTTGATTTGCTGAGGAATCTTCAAATTAAATATTAGCACTTATGTTGTAAATACCATATTTTAGTAATATATATAAAAACAGATATTAAATTTACTATGTGACACCAGCCTAGATACTGTTAGTGTGACTGGCTGTTATGTTATACTAATATAAGGAGAAGATGCAGACAAGATTTAGCCATATGCAAATTTCTAAAATGTGAAAAGAATAAAACCAAAAAAGAATTCTGTTTACCTCTTCTTCCAGCCGTACAACATTGCTTTGGGCATTCGTTAAGGCATTGTCTAAGATATCAATCTCAGATCTTTGTTGCTCAACAGTTTGACGAGATTTTACAACATCCACGTGCATTTGTTCTTTTGAACCTTGCAATTCTTTATCTGCAGAAAGAAAAATAGAATTAGAAAAGAAGGTATGAAAAATGTCATGGTTCAGATAGTTAAATGGTTGGCAATACATCAAATGGAATTGGAAAAGCAAGTTCAAATTCTGACAAAGGCAGTTATTTATTTTTTGCAGTAATGCTTCTTGGAAAGGCAGAAATTAACCTTGTTTCCAACCCAGCTGGGATTGAACCAAAATACAGGGCAAATATATGTTTGAACTGTATGGATTTAATTCATATAAAATACTGCCCCAGGATGACTGGCTATTAATCTTTGAAAAAGATCTATTCAGTATAACCCAGAATGTAAAGTTTATAAATGGGCTAACAATCTGCAGACAAGGTTAAAACAGAACTCCCAGTTGATTAAAATATCTGATAAGTAACAGAATAAAAAAATAAATAACCTAACTTTGTTAATAAAAACAAAATCAGAATTAATTACTTACTGACTGACATCAGATTAGCTACAATGGCTTCTTTCTTTCTCAGCTCTGTCCTCATATCATTTTCCGTCATCTGCAACAAGAGAAATAGAAAAGTATTAGAAATAAAAGCAAGCCCCCAAAATTGAATGTGTATGTGTGTAGAAAGGCGTATCAAACAAATATATTTATTATATACATACATAGATTTATTAATACAACACTCACATCCTCAATAATATTAATGCATCACCCACACATACACATGAAAATTGGAGTGCGTTTAAAAAGATTTTTGGAATTGTGTTTCAAGCATACTTTGGTTAAATACTGAATCTCTTTAAGAATCCTGTCACAAATTTATGTCTTTTTCTTCTAATCTTTAAATAATGAAGAATGGTCAAATATTGAAATTAGTTAAGGTTTAGAATACAAAAATAATAGTTTATATAGTATTACTCACCTCCTGTGTCAGTGGGTTACTAACGCCTTGCAATTGTTCTGTAAATATTTAAACATTCATTTAGAATTTGGAAAGAAATATAAAATAAAGAGAATTTAAAAAATATTAATTTAAGAATATGTTTGAAGAAGAAGAAACAAAAAATGAATAATAAAAATAATAATAATAGTAACAAAATGGCTAACTCATCCAGTATTTTTCAATATTTACAGAAGAGCGCAATTTAAGAAAAGCAAAAGTAGCTCCCCAAAAATTAATGTTTATATATATATATATATATATATATATATATATATATATATATATATATATATATACACACACACACACACACCCATACATACATACAGTTGCCTGAAGATTGCATGAGCATGAAACTCAAGTAACAACTTGGGCTGACCTTTGATAGGGATTAATTTTGTGAAGCGTTTTTTGCTCTGTCTTGGTAATCTAGGACTTAAGCACTTTTCTTTACTGAGTGGGGAGGTGTTTGCCTTTAGGTCTTTTTCTTTTTTCCTTTCCCTGTCCGAGATTTTCTCTTCATTAAGGTTTAACGCTTTAAAAGCAGTGTTAATAATAATAATAATAGTAGTATCTGTATTTCTTTGGAGTTTGTTGGTATGCCCGGTGGGGTGTGGGGGGATGGAGACTATAAGCTGGATAGTACATGGCCTCACCCAGACCTGCACCCTAGAGAAATCACTCCAGTTTCATCACAAAAGGGCACTACTATTATCTAGCAAGATAAATGGATGCCTATACAATAATAGTATTAATAGTAATAATAATAGTATCAATATAGTTTTGTTAGATTTTCCGAGATGGGAAAATAGAATTATTACATGCTTTGTTATTTGAACTATCATTCACATCTTGTTAGTGATAGAAGTTATCTCCCCTAAGTATGGGAAGCAGAAAGAGGACAATCTACCTCCATGGAGTGAATATTTCAAAAGGTTACCAGTTATGATGAAAAACAACAGCTGAAACATTGCTAGTAAAACAACCAAGATGGTTCAGATAGCAAAGCATATATTAATGTAGATATTGTTTTTTTGTTACTTTTTACTATCAGCATTGTGTTGAATTTAAAACATCTTGTAAAATAACTTATACAATTAATGTCATACACTTTGAGATGTGATTAACAATCATTTAAACTTTATAATTATTTTCTAACACTCAAAAGAAATATTAAAAGAAATTTTTAATTTTTTACCTTTTAAACTTTTGTTTTCAGCCATTAATTTTTTGTTTTCCTCTTCCAATTTTTGCCTGTAGGCTGCTTCCCATTGCTGCAGCTTTCTGGATTTTTGCTCCAAAGTTTTGTATTCGTCTGTCACTTTAGTGATTTCTTGTTCACACTGGAATGAATTCAAAAAGCAGATGACAAATGTTTAATTAATACAAACATGCTAATATACATGCACAGGTGAAAGATCTGAAAAAAAAAAAAAAAAAAAAAATTTTCCCCAACAAAATTCAAGGTAATTTCAAATAATTGTAGTCATAATATGAGTTGATAAAAAAAAAAAAAAATAAAATGTTTGTTGATATCATTTCCACCAAAAACTGGAGTTAATGCTTATATAAAAGCAAACTATATGGACTTCTTCACTTATCTTGTTTTTCCTCTGTCATAAATATTCCAACCACACAGTTGGAGGTGGTTAATCAAATCCTTTAAAGGATGAATTTTTTTTGTTTCAGTTGTTGTTTCTTTAGCCTTATTCAACATTCCAAATAAAATGGCAATGTCACTTATAAAAAAGAAGTACCACTTATTTTTATTACAAAGTATTACTTTGTGGGATGAAGTTGAAATAGACAGAGAACAGCACTGAAAAATGCAAAAATTAAAAAAAAGTCAGCACATATGCAAGCCCACAAAATTCTCCCGAGCCGACCAAGAATAGAAATGAATACAATATGGGAACCAGTAATAAGGAGTTTTAGAGAAAAGCAATGAATAACAACACAAAAATTGCAATATACGCTCTGGTAAAAAATATGTAATAATAATAATGTAAAAATTGCAATATGAGCAGTTTAAAAAAATGGTTGCTGAGACATTAGGTTTATAAGTCACAGAAATTCATACACAGATGTCCTCAAGTATGCCCAGTGGATAAACATGTTGGTTAAATCCAGTGACTAGACCCAAAGAGTTGTGAATTCAATACCAGGTTAGTGGTGAACCAAAAAACTTGGAGAGTTAAGTTAAAGGAAAATAACCAAGATATCCGGAAGGCGCATGGCACATGGGACTAAAACAATCTACCTCGGTAGATGAAATTTGGTTCGATATTCCAATCATCTGAAGAAGGCTATAGCCTTGTGAATATGGCAATGAAGATGAGGATAACAGTCCAAATAATGTAAATAAAATTTATAATGACTAAACGATGAGCAGAATATTTAAGCCATTATTAAAAGAAGAGAAAGGAAATGCATTAAATTGTATTTCAGTATCGTGTTTTTTGCCTACCTTTTGTAATGCTGCCACACGCTTCCTGGTACGAATTAGCTCTTCCTGTAATGTCTTGTTTTTCTCCCTTAGGGTTTTGTTCTCGCTTGTAAGAATTTCAACCATTGTTGTTGTGCGAGCCAACAACATAGTTGTGTCTGCGCTTCTCTCAATCTTGTCACCATCTTTAGCTTGCATTATTCTATAAATAACAAAGAAAAATCACACACAAATTGAGTAAAAAAAAAAAAAACAGAAAACAATCAAACAACAGAAAAAGAAAAATGCGATTTGTGTATGTATATATATATATATATATATATATATATTTTCAAATATTTTATTTTTCAAATTTCTTATTAATTTAACCAGGTTAATAAATATTCTTGTCTATGTTCAAATACACATATATCACAGCCACAGATCTGACTGTGAAGACTATCTTTTTATGTGGTGACTAGTTTACTCATGTTGCAAAAAAATAAAAATAGATAAAGCCATATTTAAATAATTTCGCAATTGCATGTACTTGTAAAATATCAAAGGTCCTGTTGCTCTATATTTTTCTATTTATGTTCAATATTTTTGGAATATTAAACTTAAAAGTATAATTAAATAAAGATAAGAATTGATCCACTATTTTGTCCTTTTGCTAGAAATGGCATTTTGATGTGGGGGCTGCCAAAGCTAGTTGACTACAGAGTAGTGAGTTCAATCCTGACTGAAAGCGCCATACAAAATTCAACATTAAATAACCCAACACACGTGTTTTAAAATCTACAAAACAAACTTTGCTTAAAACAAAAACAGTTGTGAGAAATGAAATTAATTTTTAATATATTATACATATATTTAAACACATTTATAATATATAATTTATTTATCTATAGAGCTAATTGTTATTTATGAGTTACTTTAACATAATATTTCTAGCTTAAACATGTAGTATTGCTACTATATCAGAAAAGATCATGGGAAAATTTGGACCTCTCTATACAGAAGACACTTCACTATGAGATAAAAAGTGTTACACATGCACAATATATATATATATATATATATATATATATATGCTGTTAGTGATAAAACAGTGGTCAATGTATAATAACAGGGTTAAATTTATATTAAAAAGAATTATATAGTTGTTCCCCTACAGGACTTAAAGTTTTATAATTCTTTTTATAAGTAACATATATATATATATATATATATATATATATATATATATATGATAGGATAAAGAACAAATAGATTTATCAATCTAACATGTTTCACTTTTATTAAGGCTTCATCAGAGAATGAGATATGGAGAAAAAGAAGAAATATTTCATTTGCAATAAATAGTAAAATATTGATATTTCTTAAAGAATAGTTTTATTGACAAAAAAAGTGATAGCTATTCTAGTTTATTTAAAGAATTTGTAATAAGTTTATTTCAAGCTATGTAAATGTTACTAAAATATATCATGAGTAAAAAAATATTCAAATGTGTGCAGGCAAGTTAGAATGTGGCTCCATAATTTAATTAGCCTAGGGACCCAAAAGGTCATCATCCAGGCCTGATAAAAATTATTAGCCTTAAATTATAACAGAAGGCAGTTATTGTTATATCATTAAAATTAAAGCAAAAAATTAAATAAACAAGGCAAAAGCTTTGGTTTTCTAAAAATAAAAGTGGAACACATACCTGTGAGTGAAATCCACTGATAATTAAGGTTTACAACTTAGTCAGTGTCCAGTTTTAGAAAATAGTTTTACTGTTAGAGAAATTTTTTGATTGGTTAATGGTTTTGGCTCTGATAACCAATGAAAGCTTTTAAAAAAAGAACAATGATGAATATGAAAATTAATTATATTTTTAAAAAAGAAATATTTATTTTACTGTAGTTATTCATTTTATGAAATAACAGAGGTGAGATTAGGCTTCTGTTCCTGTTACTACCTCCACCACTGTGACTATGACTGCAATTACACTGACCAACACTTTTGAGGCCTGAGATTATAACTGAGAATTTACCTGATTCAAATAATCAGATGTTACTGCATGAAAAATAATCATCAATTTTCTCTATCTCTCACACATATACAGTTACTCAGTATATTTCTATTAAGCAAATAAATTCCATTTCATATGCACAGTTAAAAATGGGTCTTTTTAAATTGAAAAAGAATCTGCAAAGTTAGTGGCCCTGACCTGGTATCTCAGCTTCAATCACTTTCCTACCACCATTAACATAGCTTCAAATATTTTCATGGTAATTGTTCAGATGAACTTTCCTGTATTTTGTTTAGTTTCTTGTATATAAGATTGTAATCTTTGTAAATATTCATTGGGGTTTCATTTTTAAATTGTTATTTTTATTCCCTGCCCCCAACAGACAAATTGTACATATTGGAACTAGTCAAGATTTCATAGTGAGGTATTATGGTGGCTGTAGTAAGAATGGTAAGAAAGAATGTGTTGTTTTGGTGTAAGGAATACTATGGTATGTTTGGGTCAATAATTGTGACTAGCTAAGTTTAAGATGAGACAGACTGAAGACCAGCCTTCCCCTATCCACCCCTCCTTTGGCCTTGTGCCACATTTTTGTATTACCAAAATAAATATTACTCTCTTCTATGGTACCTAGACTTTATGAATTTAAGTGCAGTATTAGATTGTCAGCAAGGTCCCATTGTTTTAGAGTTGAAATGGCTAGATGTAACCATAGACTTATTGCTTATGGAACCCTCTTTTGACTTCTGGCTTTCCATATCATATATATATATATATATATATATATATATATATATATATATATATATATATATATTATATTTATTTTATTATATTTAGTAGATTCATGTGTGTGAGCATATCTTTCACAGACTGAGTTTTTCAAAAGTCATTAATAAAGAAAATATGCCCTTTAGCAGAGCTTAAATTTGTCTCCCTTTTACATAAAAGTGTACACAGCGAGCCTATTTAAAGAGGAATAACAGTCTGATGACCACTTCTGGTGTGAAACTGCTAGTCACTATACAGTGTTGATATTTTGTCCATATTGTTTATGTTCATATATGTGTGTGTGTGTGTGTGTGTGTGTGTGTGTGTGTGTGTGTGTGTGTGTGTGTGTGTGAGAGAGAGAGAGAGAGGGGAGCAGGATGGAAGGAAATGTATATATCCCATCACCCCAAAACAAGATGTGTGAATGTTATTTATTCCAATTGCCATGATGTTAATTTTTCATTGTCAGCTGTGTCATCCTTAATGACAGGTGTTATCCCCCACCCTCGTACAGTCACTCTGGCCACCTTTACATTTGTTTGCTTCTCAAATAAGTGTCAAGAAACATTTAAAAACAGGGTTGCCCATTGGTCAGAAATAGCTAGCCCCTGGATTTTTAAAAGGGAAAGATGTATTATTTAAGGAAAGACATTGTTGTAGGTTCAATTAAAAATTAGGCCAAAGCAAACATTTAAAAATATAAAGAACTGATTGAACTAAGCCAACTCAGTCCTCACTTTCCAGCCTTGATTCAAAATCATTTATTCAGTATTATCTTATTTTTACACTCTGCAGCCTCTTTCTCACAGATGTAACACTGCAAGCTTCTCACTACTTTATCACTATTTCCATGGCAAATGTTCAGATGAGCTCCATTCTTTAGTTTCTCCAGTTTCCACCTTTACATCTAGGATATGCCATACCACTTCTATGAAGTTGAATCACCCTCATTTCCCTCATGTCCAAAATGTAAGAAGAAAGTTACTTAACTTCCTACCACCTTTTCTTTCATTTATATCATGCACCTCATTCATCCTTACCATTTTACCTGTAACCCTCTACCTTGGGTAACTCTTGAGCCTAGTATCGAGTGAAATTTGTATTATAAAAAGTTCAAGGAAGTGAAGTTCAACCTTGACTGGGCGCACTATACTAGTAACCGTGTCAGACTAAGCTTAAAAAATAGCTAGTGACTTTCCAAACTTTATGCATTGGCAACATACTTTTTAAAATAAAATTATTTGTAGCACATTTAAGGTTTGTTAGCCAAACCAAATATACAATTTAAAATGTATATAAAAAGGAATAATTCAATTAAAAATTTAGTTAAGTAATTAATTATCCTAAAGTTCCACAACCTACCAGTTTGGAAAATTAAAAAAACAAAAAAAAAATGTAAAAAAAACCACATGGCTCTTTTCTGTCAGATGATTTTTAACTCCTGAAATAAAACTCTGAAAAGACCTAAGCAATAAAGTTAGATAAACATAAAAAAAGCTGCATTTGATTTTGTTAAAACAGTTTATTTATTCTAAACTTCAAAGAAATGGAAAATTTTAAATATTTCATCTTTTCAACTTTGTAGAGAAAAAAGGTTATTTCAACTCTCCTTCACCCCTAAGTAACCAGACTCTTTCATCCTCAACTAGTATGTAGTGGGTAGGGTCAGCATCCACTTGTACATGGGCTGAAGAGATTAGAATTAATCACTTGTTTCTTGCAGCCTTAACAAAAAAATTCTTTGTGCTTTGATAGCAATGATGATCAACAGGGGTTAAAATCAAGAACTTTGGTAAAATTCTGAAATGTTATTGGTTGCTAGCAGGAAAAAGTTGATGAGATTTAAATGGGGTATCAGTGAAATTTGGATTTTTACAAAGTCTGAGTTATTATAAGGCAGGGTTTCTCAACCAATTTAGTGTGCTTTTTAGCGTGCGGTTGGGGGGAATCTTTTACTTTTTCTCGTTTTTTATTTACAGAATGTAAATGACTGTCAAAAAAGGTGGTATGATGACTGATATTCAATATGGAATCATATCCATCATGCTCATCAATGGAAAAGAAAGGCCTCAGTGTGTATTTTGTATAAAGCTTTGTTATATATAAAAATAAAAGGTAATAAATCTGTTGGTATATAATCAAAATGGATCCTAGTAATATAAAATATTAAAACTGATCCACAAAGAGCTCAGTGTATTTATTATTACAATGCAAATAATTAATACACAATAAAATCCCAAATCACCTCATATGGGGAATAAGCTTATTTCAACCAACGAAACAATAATAAAATTTGTCAGTCTTATTCAACCACAGACTGAGTTTCTCTCTCTCTCTCTCTCTCTTATATGTAAAAGAACGAAGAGTAAGATTTCAGTGTTCAAAACATTAATTTAAAACAGGGCTCAATACAAAAGTAGAATAATAAATATTTGTTTATTATGCAGTGTTACATTAGAACATGCACATACTCACTACAAAACTGTACATCTTGTTTCAATGTTAAAATTTTTTTTTTTAATGTTTCATCAGGTGGGAGATCATGATGATATGCTGAAGTCTTACTCTTCGTTCTTTGCAAATTTTCTCCTGTTAAGGTTCAGCACTTTCTACCATTGTGTGCATATATATATATATATATATATATATATATATATATATATATATATATAATAGGCTCTCCCATTATTTTTTTGACGTATAAGGGTCAAGCAACTCAGTTCCTAGGAACTGACAGCCAGACAACCTGCACATATAATTCGATTATAGTGGTGAAGGCTTTGTGCAGAACCAACCACACTTTTTGGAAGAGCCGCTGGTGCATCATATGCCACAAAGTATCTAAACAACCCCCTGCAGGTTTTGAATTCAGAGTTGTTCTCCATGAGCAATAGAACTCAGTCTGCCCTGCTATTTACTCAGAGAAGAGGATTCATACCTTTCCCAAATGACCTTTGATAATAATAACCTGAGGATATCATAAGGTTGATGCCAAGGTAACAGATTCAACTGACCTCCAGATTTTTAAAGTTAAAAGCTCCACATGTTATTTTTACTTTTATTTTATTTTTTCATATGTATATTAGCACTTTTTAATACTACTGTTTCCTGGTCTGATTCAACTCTGACCATAAACCTTTTATGTATTATATATATATATATATATATATATATATATATATATATATATATATATATGTATGTATGTATGTGTGTGTATGCATATGTGTGTGTGTGCATGTGTACATGCAGACTAATCTTAGCTAATATTTACAAAGTACATTCAGAAATTATGCAATCATTTTGAATTATATGCTGAGAATTGGTTGTGCAGACTTGAAAAATTTGGAGAGACATTGGGATAAGTTTTTGAGTTTCCAAGTGGATTCCTTTGAAGTGAACTAAAGCAGGTAGGATTCCTTTTTCTTAATATTAAATGGCTGAATGTTTTCCAGACAAATTCCTTATATGTTTATATGTGTGAATACATATACATATTTATATGTGTACATCTAAAAATGCACAGACACAGCATTTGAGAGTAAGGTTATATGCATATGTGTACACTCTATTGCATAAGACTTTTTAACTTAGTGGAAATCAATTAAAAAAGAAAAATACCAAAAACAAAAGTAGGAGAAAAACAAATTCAAATATGATTACTTACGAGATTACTTCCCCTTTGTTTTCTGGGCTTTTCTCTCCTGCATAAAACTGAGAACCCTGGGGACTGGGTTGCCGAAATTTTGAATCCCCAAACCGAGTGAGATCAGGTTGTGAACGAGTCCGTTCAACTTTATCAAGCATCTCATATGATCGACGCAAGTCTTTCTTGACAGATGATTCACTGTCAGACTTTGCTTTATACTCGGGAGGTGGGGGTAAATTACTAAGGTATTGCAGGACCTGTGGGTCCATGTTCTGTTGTGAGAAACACTGATTAGTATATGCAATGTTGCTGGGCATTGAAACAGTTGCATTTAATGGAATAATCCGTGAGTCAGTTGGACCTGTGATAATTGGATTATTTTCCCATGTAGAAGGCACTGTAAGTGGTATAGTAGTCGAATAATACTGAGTAGAAGGCGTCATGTAAATGTTGTTCATTGTATGTTGGTTGTTGGTGGCGAAAACAGTTTGGTCGTTTAAATTTTTCACATCAACAGGCAAGTGCATTCCAAGCCGAGCCAACATACTATAACCTTCTGGCATTGGTTTAAGATCATAGTACATCTCTTGTGGGTGGGTTTCTTCTCCTTGTGGTTCCTGTCTTTGACAGGTGCTTAAGTTTTCGCTGGATGAAAGGGAGACATCGGTGCTCGTCTCACTTCCAGAAAAGCTTTGACGAAGCCCTGAATACAAAAAAAAAAAATAAATAAATAAGAAAAAAGTTTAAATCCTGATCAGCAAAGATTTATAAATGTTACTACAGATTTTTGAAATGTTTAATTTGTTTTTAACAAAATTATGCCTCTCCTAATAATGAGAGGAAATGAGTTTTAAAAATACAAACAAAGGAACTACTGATTGAAGATAATCTAATAAAAATGAAAATAATCTAATAAAAAAAATAAAATCTGTCTTCTATTGTCACTAGCAACTGGCATCACCAGCACAAGGGAGATAATTCTCATACAGCAAAAATCAAAATCTTATAAATATTACAGATAATAACAAACAAAAATTCTAATGCTATATCATTTCTGAATGAAAGTAATCATGGCTCTCCATAGATTCTTTTTCTTTAATATCTGAGTTGCCATGGCGTATTGGGAAATATAGTGAAGTTGTTCCCTGCTTTGAATTCGGGATTGTCCTTCTCCTAGACTGGGTGCCACCCAAGGTTAGAGGGATCAGTCTACTCTGCTATTCAACCCATGGCTGGAGAAAAGAAGAGCTTTTGTGAGAAAGTGAATGCAACTAAATAAGATGGAATTTGCTCACAGATTCTTTTTTGCACACCAATAAATGTTATACTACCTGCACATGCTTGTACAGGTAGTATAAGAGATAATTGGTGTATTATATATTAAATCCTGATTTTACTTTATGAGTAAATTATTGTTACTTTGACCTATCAATACCCACCACCCTATAATTATTATTGGTCTTCTGTTTTTCTTTTTAGAAATTTATAATTAATACAGGATAAAATCTTTAATTAATACTGAAAACTGATTTTAATTTTTATAATTAGTAGCAAATTTTATGGTGGCATTAATTGTAACATCAGTATCAATACATTATAGAAAAAAAACTGATTTAAATTTTAAAATGCTATGAAATCTGTTTTGTTAATTTTTTAATACCTGTATATTTTATTTTAAGTGAATATTTGACTTACCAGGCTGCAGTAATTGTTTAGAATGTCCTGGATATGGAGGTGGATCCCTGTAGGGTGAAGACTGCATGGTTAGGATAGTTTTTTTTTCAGGGGTAGTTTCAGCCCACAAAGAGCTTCAAAAATGTGCTGTAAGTAAAAAGAAAATAAACAGATATCTTAAAATTAATGAAAAAAGCATAAAGAAAAAAAATAAATCCAAGTTATTAAGCCACAATGTACAAGATAACAAAAGAAACCAAACAAAAAAATATTTCTTGAAATATCTATCAAAAGTAAAATTTAGCTTGCTTTGAAATTGTGGGTAAATTTTAGTCAAATTGAATAACCATTTCAGAGGTAGATTTTTTAGAAAATACTGTCCAAAAATTCTTTTAGCAGAGAATTTTTTAAAAGATCTTTTCTATAAAAAATCATATTTAACAGTACTAGCTTGTGTCATACCTGGAAAAAAAAAAGTCCATTGTTGGTGTAATCTATGTATTTAAAAATTTCCCCCAACAATCACCAACCCTGAGAAGATGCATCTGAATCCAATTATTTTAATAAAAAGTTATTACAGGTATTACCAATCTCCATAAATCTTTTGTTACATACACCAGAACTTCCAAACTTTTGCAACAAACATTTTGTAAAATAAATATTTTGCAATACAATTTAAATTTTGTTAACCAAGTAAACAATTTAAAATAAAAAGTAATTCAATGAAAAATTTAGTCAATTATTAAAAAGTGGGAAAATTAATAACATTAATGTGTCATGACATACCAAGTAGAAAGCTTACACAATAAATTTTAACTTTCATTTTCAGTACAAATGTATCTAAAATGATTCTTGCATCAAAATAGCATCAAATAACAAACAACTCTTAAACCATTCCCACAAATCAACATCATGGTGTTGACTTTCTTTCTATTTTTAAATAAAAGTAATGACCCAGAAAACCTTTCATGTCAACACATTTCATTAGTTGAAGAACCTTATCAAGACAAGTGTAGAAATTAACCACTACAATCTTAACCTCTTGTAGTCTAGGATCAACTATTATCTTTCTCACATATCCCCATGAATGGCACTTCTTATCTCATCCTCTTATGTGCAACAACCTCATTCAGTAACCCTCTACTTTGAGTGGCACAAGGGCCTTGTATTAGGTGAAGAATTAGTATAAAAAAGTAACAAACAGCTTCATGCTTCTGTGTATAAATACAGGTTACTAAATAAAACTTCTGCACTTGCCTTGATTGTGGGTTTTTTTTTTATTACTATTTTACTTAGTTTCTTGTATATAAATTGTATTCATTGTAAATATTCATTGGGGTTTCATTTAAAAATTGTTATTTTTATTCCCCATCCCCAACAGACAAATTGTACATATGGGGACAAGTTAGGATTTCATAGAGACTTGAGGTATTATGGTGGCTGTAGTAAGAATGGTAAGAAAGAATGTGTTGTTTTTGTGTAAGGGATACTATGGTATGTTTGGGTCTGTAATTGTGGCTAGCTAAGTTTCAAATAAGACAGATTGAAGACCAGCCTTCCCTTATCCCTCCTTTTGGCCTTGTGCCACATTTTTGTATTAAAACAAAATATTACTTGCCTTTATAAAGTTACTTAAAGAACAAACATGGCATAATTTTTTTTCCTCTTGTCATTTCTTACATGCACACACTTACGTAGATGTAACAGTTGAATAATTATTATATGAAGCATTGGTTTTCATAAATATCATATTTACACTTCTTCTGTTGCTATTAATAGAATGCCAGTTGCCTTGTAATCAGTGCTAGCAAATAAGGTAAGGCAGGCATTGGCTTTTGCTGTTAGCAAGAAAGAACGTGTGTGTTCCTGCTTGGTGTGAATGGGAATGTTGTATAAATAATTATTGGGCTTTCTTCCCCCAGCTTGGCACAGGATGATAGGCAGTGTCTATTTTAACTGGCAACAGGTTAGGCAAGGTTGGTGGGTATTCTCTTCGTAAACTGGGTAGAATACCCCTAGTAGTACCAAAAGGCAGTCAAGGCTAGGATGGAAGATTCTAGAAGTGAAATGTACTCGTTAGCCCACTCCATACCTGCTTTCAGCTTCCCTTTTGCATATTCTCAGCAGTCATATCAAATTGATGATAAAGGAAAATCTTTAACCAGCAAATATGCAGTAAGATATGCCCTACGGTGACTGATGATTCTTAAAAGTTTTCAAGCATCCGCATCAGTAATGAGGAGTTACAATTATTATTTATAGCCCCATGGGTATCAAACAGGTTTTACTTACACAAAAAATTAATTAAACTAAAATATGTGATCATTACTTGAATTTGAACAAACCAGTTAAACCAGTAGCTGTAACAAACTAACCTACTATGAAAAAAAAAAAAAATAATGCTAACCAAAACTAGAAAGTATATTTTAGAAAGTTGAGATTAAAATCTTGGTTTTAGTTAAAGATTTCATCAACTCAGCACCTGGAAGTTGCATTTCATCCCATACTGGATCATGCTTTATACTCTTTAAGTTTGTATAGCAACACTAACTTTGCCAATGCTATCTTTGATGTAAAGCTCTGATTGGCTGCTCATGACATCATTGTGAAAATTGGGCTGTGAGTGGGTGTCAGGTCTTTGGAAAATTAATTTAAATAAAAATTGGAATGCCTAAATAGTAAAACTACAATATTTATAAAATTATAAATTAACAGAAGTTTTTAATAAGCAGATTTTAAAAGGGATATAAAAAGATAAATAGGAATTATTTTAATGTTTCATTTTTTTTTTTTCATTTCAAAGATTAATATATTTGAGGATGATGGGAGCAGTAAATATTTTTACAAAAGTGAAATTCTAGAATTTTCTGATATAGAAATTGTATGCACAATTTTCATAAACTTTTTCTTGTAATTCATACAAACATTATTTATTTCATAAAGACTTTTTAGGACTCATATGTATATGAGAATTACATAAAAATGAAACTCAATTGAATTTAATTTTTATGTAATTCATTTCCATGCTCTAAAATAAATATATTGAGCTGCCTTTTGTGGATCAGTTTTAATATTTTATATTATTAGGATTCACTTGGATTACTTACCCACAGATTTTTACCTATATATGTTTTGAAAAATAAAAAAAAAATTTAAATTAAAATTTTCAGACACACTGGGTTGTATATTAATATTTTATTTTGTTTTATTATTTCAATTAGGTTCCTCAACTAGTTTCGGCTAGAATGGCCATCATCAGGAGAAAAAAAAAGTCCCTGCTTGTTAGTAGCAGTGAACTTTATCTGGAGTTTTCATTTGTTTTTTATCATTAATTTTGGTCAGACCTTGTGTTGGTGAAACAGCCTCTTTCAAGCTGTTTTTAAGATAGAGGATGGGAAATTCCTGACTTAGAATTCACTCCTTGGTCATTTTAACAGTTTTATTGGTTGCTGGGAATGGGATGTGCATGTTAACTGTATGTTATCTTTTAGTTATATATATATATATATATATATATATATATATATATATATATGTGTGTGTGTGCAGAAAAACAGAAAGCTGAATAAACATAAAGATAAGCTTTATTCCACTTTATCAATACATGTAGAAAAATTCAACTGCTTATATCTAGAGTCAACTGTTCCATTCTCAACAGAGGTGGAAGAGAGATTTCAATTACTTCTGAATACTACAATATATATATATATATATATATATATATATATATATATATAAGGTGATATATAAGATTTTATATAACAAAACAATGTTAGGAAATTGGAGAAAAATTTTGTGATGTGTTTTGTCTTTCAGCACTACCCATGTGCACGAAGCAGGTTGGTAGTGTTTGGAGTGGCGGGTGTTGACACTGAAAATTTAAACTTATAAATTCTTTTAGATGTACTTTGGCATATAGTCTAGCCAACAAGAAGAAACTAAATGAAATTAGGTAAACTGTATATGAAAACATCTGAAGAAAAAAAAATTAAGTTTAAAATTTCAGCATCCCCTCTCATTCATGAATAGTTACATCAACAGAAATATCACTTTAGTCTGATGAAGTTCTTAAGTACAAAATGCATCACACAAAAAGCTTTTGTACTGTACTGAACCAGATTTTATTTTTTATAAGATCTAAAAATATTCATCTATTTATTATAGGCATCAAATTCTTCACTTGTTTGAGATAAGTCATTTAGTTTCATGAGAGAGAAATCTTAGTAAATGCTATTCAACTGAACTTCCTTAAATTATTTCTATCTACCAAAACTAGAATTAAATCAAAAGTCTGTCACCCAAAATTATTTAATTATCCAAACAGTTTCACTATCCCAAAGATTTTGTGACCATTGTTGGCTGAAGAACATTCTAGGGATAAATAAATCTGGGGAAACTGAATAAAGAGTGTGGGGGTGGGAATTAAATAAAAACTCACTGTCCTGACTGACATAACAAAGTCAACTTCTATAAATGTCACAGTTTTATTTTAGTTTTCTACTAACATAAAAGCTAGTGCCCTTCCAAGTAGTAGTTGTATTTGGACAGCAAAAGTTCAACATAGTTTCTGTGAATTTTTATTTATTTATTTTCTAATCATATTACAGATTACTTCAGTGGCCTTCTAAAAAACAGCCATTTAGTATGCTATATATGTATGTGTGTGTGTGTGTGTGTGTGTATAAAATTTCAGATATAACTAAAATATATATCTATAAAAAAATGATTGCAGATAAATATTGTACTACACATATGTACATGTATAAAAATACAGGCAACATGTGCACACACACACACACACATAAATATATACAGTTAGTTATGAAATGTATTAATAGTATATGTATGTAATATTTGTTCAAGTTGCCTGAAGATCACGAGAGTGTGAAACTTGAGTTGAGACTTGTGTGGTCCTTTATTGACTGTTGATATTGTGAAGCATTTTTTGCTCTGTCTAGACAGACTAGACATTGAGCACTTTAATTTACTGTGTAGTGATGGTGTTTGCCTTGTGTTTTTTTTCCTGTTCGGGATTTTCTTCTTGTCTAAGGTATTAGATCATCTGGCAAGTTGTCTGTTAGTCATATC